AAAAAAATTTTTAAGTCCACATGCATATTCAATTTATAAAAATTCAGAAAGAACGAAAGAGGAGGGGTGCCTGCATGGCTCAGTCAGTTGGAGCTTCTGGGTCTTGGTTTCAGCTCAGGTCTGGATCTTGCGGTTCCTGAGATCGAACTGCACAATGGTTTCTGCACTGACAGAACGGAGTCTGCTTGGGGTTCTCTCTCTCTGCCCCTCCCTCACACACTTGCACATATGTACCTCTCTTCCTCTCTCTCTCTCTCTCTCTCTGTCTCTCTCTCTCTCAAAATAAATAATAACGTTTATTTAAAAAAAGAATAAAAGAATAGTCAAGGGAAGGAAATCCCCCTTCTACCCCTGCCTTCCAGCAGCCCAGCTTCTCAGGAGCCATATTCTTTTAGTGTTCTCATGGTATTTCTTTAAGGTTATACTATGTATAGATCAGTACATTATTTTGTTTTTGTATTTTTCAAGTTTTAATTTAAATTCTAGTTAGTTAATATGGTAAAATTGGTTTCAGGAATAGAATTTAATAATTCATTACTTACATATGACACTCAGTGCTCATCACAAGTGCCTTCCTTAATGCCCATCAACCATTTAGCCCATCCCCCCCCCAACCCCCGCCAACTTCCCTCCAGCAACCCTTAGTTTGTTCCCTATATTTAAGAGTCTCTTATGGTTTGTTTCCCCGCTCCCCACTCTTTTTTTTCCTTCTGTTATTAATATTATTATTATAAGTGTATTTATTTTGAGACAGAGAGAGAGAGTAGAAGAGGGACAGAGAGAGAGGGAGACAGAAAATCCCAAGCAGGCTCTACACTGTCAGCACAGAGCCCAGTGTGGGGCTTGAACTCATGAGCTATAAGATCATGACTGAGCCAAAACCAAGAGTTGGATGCTTAACTGACTGAGCCACCCAGGCGCCCCTGTTTTGTTTCTTAAATTCCACATGTGAGTGAAATCATATAGTATTTGTCTTTCTTTGACTGACTTATTTCACTTAGCATAATAGTAGCTCCATCCACATCATTGCAAAGGGTATGATTTCATTCTTTTTGATGGTGAAGTAATATTCCATTGTGTGTGTGTGTCACACACACACACACACACACACACATACATACTTACCACATCTTCTTTATCCATTCATTAGTTGATGGACACTTGGGTTCCTTCCATAATTTAGCTATTGTTGATAATGCTGCTGCTATAAACATTGGGTTGCATGTGCTCCTTCAAATTTGTATTTTTGTATCCTTTGGGTAATACCTAGTAGTGCAATTACTGGGTCTTAGGGTAGTTCTATCTAACTTTTGAGGAACCTCCATACTGTTTTCCACAATGGCTGCACCAGTTTGCATTCCCACCAACAGTGTAAGAAGGTTCCTCTTTCTCCACATCCTTGGCGACATTTGTTAATTTTAGCCTTTCTGACAGGTGTCAGGTGGTATCTCATTGTGTTTTGATTTTGTATTTCCCTGATGATGAGTGATGTTGAACATCTTTCTTTGTGTCTGTTAGCCATCTGGATGTCTTCTTTGAAAAACTGTCAGTTCATATCTTATGCCCATTTTTTAACCGTATTATTTGTTTTTTGGGTGTTGAGTTTAATAAGTTCTTTATAGATTTTAGATACTAACTCTTTATCTGATATGTCATTTGCAAATATCTTCTCCCATTCCATAGGCTGCCTTTTAGTTTTGTTGATTGCTTCCTTTGCTGTGCAGAAGCTTTTTATATTGATGAAGTCCCAGTAGATAATTTTTGCTTTTGTTTTCCTTGCCTCTGGCAATGTGTCTAGAAAGAACTTGCTATGGCCAAGGTCAAAGAGATTGCTGCCTGTGTTCTCTAGGATTTTGATGCAAATATTAAAGACCCACAGCTAATATCATCCTCAATGGGGAAAAACTGAGAGCTTTTCCTCTGTGGTCAAGAACAAGACAGGAATGTTCACTCTCACCATTGTTATTTAACAATGGAAGTCCTAGCCTTGGCATTCAGACAACAAAAAGAAATAAAAGGCATTTAAATCAGCAAGAAAGAGGTCAAACTTTGACTACTCTCAGACACCATGATCCTTTAAGTAGAAAACCCCGAAGACGCCACCAAAAATTACTAGAACTGATATATGAATTCATCAAAGTTGTAGGATATAAAATCAATGTACAGAAATATGTTGCATTTCATTATGCCAATACTGAAGCAGCAGAAAGAGAAATCAAGGCGTTGATCCCATTTATAGTTGCACCAAAAACCGTAAGATACCTAGGAATAAACCTAAGCAAAGAGGTAAAAGATCAGTGTGTTATTTTTAAATTTTGTTGGCAGCAAACTTCCCACAGCGTTCTGCCCAGTTCTTTTTTTTACTGAACAATAATCTGTATTTATGGAAGTTCCATATTTTCCATATTCTTTTAAAAAATTATTTGTATCACTATTTATAAAAGTTTAAATTGGTAACATTTATATATTATAAAGCCATATCAAAAAAACACATTAACATTTTGCTGTTGTCTGATTTATTAAAATTGTATAACAAAGGAGGACCCGCATCATCAAAATAACATTGAAAAAGAAGAACAAAGTTCAGGACTCACACTTGCCAGTTTCAAAAATTTTACTACAGAGCTCCAATAATAAAAATAATGTGCTACCGGCGTGGGCAGACACATAGAACCAAGGAGTAGAATTGAGAGTCTACAAACAAACCCTATAGTTTTGATTGATACATTTGATCTGATGTCCATTTGATTTTGACAAGAGTGCCAAGACCATTCAATGGGGAAAAGAACAGTCTCTTCAGCAAATGGTGCTGAGACAACTGGACATCCACACACAGAAGAACCAGGTTGGACCCCTCCTTTACACTGTACACAAAGATTAACTCAAAGTGGATCCAAGACCTTAAATGTAAGCTCCCAAACTATAAAAACTCTTCGAAGAAAACACAAGGGTAAGTGTTCATGACCTTGGATTTAGGGAGACACCAAAAACAGGAATATGAAAAGAAAGAAATTGGACTTCATAAAAAATAAAAATTTTGTGCATCAAAGGACATTATCAAAAAAAAATGAAAGACATTTTGCTAAATAGAAAATATTTGCAAATCATATATATAAGGGCATGATCTCCAAAATCTATAAAAAACTCTTACAATCCAACAACCAAACAACAACCTAACTTAAAACTGGGCAAAATACTTGAATAGACATTTCTCCAAAAAAGATTTACAAGTGACCAATAAGCACGTGAAAAAATCCTCAACATGGCCAGTCATTGGGGGAAATGTCAGTCAAAACCTCAATGAAATACCAGCGCAGCCTCACTAGGGTGGGTAATTTTTTTTTTAAAGGAAAATAACAAGTGTTGGTGAGGATGTGGAGAAACAGAAACCCTAGTACATTGCTGGTGGGAAAGAAACTGGTTTAGGCACTGTGGAAAACAGCTTGGCAGTTTCTTAAAAAGTTAAACATAGAATTACCATAGAATTCAGCAGCTCCACTCCTGGGTATAACCCAGAAGAATCAACATAGATATTCAAACAAATACTTGAATATGAATGTTCAGTATTCATGCCCAACGTGTCAACGATCCAAGTGTTCATTGATGGATGAGTGGATAAACATTATGGTATATTTACAGTGGGGTATCATCCATCCATAAGGAGGAATGAAGTATGATAGACCTAGAACAAGGACAGACCTTGAAAACCTTACTTACGTACACTAAGTGAAATAGTCGATGGGTAAGGTCATATGTTGTATGATTGCATTATATGAAATATCCAGATTAGGTGAATCCATGGAGACAGAAAACAAGTAGGTGTTGCCAGGAGCTAGTGGGAGGGGAGAATAGCAAGTGACTGCTTGGTGGGCACAGGGTTTTGGGGCGCAATGAAAATGTTTTGGAACTAAGAAGTGACGGTTGCACAAGTTTTTGTGGCCACTGAATTGTTCACTTAACCATGGATAATTTTATGGGAAATTTTACCTCATGAAAACATTTTGTATATATAATTCATCTGAACATTTTGATTGCCATTAGTTTTAATATTTAATGGCTAAAATACACTTTAAGGATGCAATTAAATCAACTCTTTACAGACTCAATCACTGAAGTGCCTCCACTAAATCCCTGGGTACCACAGAACATAGTTTGAGAAACACTGAGCTCTTTTGTGTATTCTAGGGTCTTCAAATTATTCCTGTATTCTGAGGAAAGATTTCTTCACCTAGTTTATTCTCACTAGCTGAAGTTTATCCTTAAGCCTTGTCAACCATGCTTTAGCAGAATAAAAATTTTATATAGTTTTAATAGTTGTTGAAGAATAGTTTGAGGTTTCTGGCTTCCGTTTTAATAAATCTGTCCTAGCGAGGCGAAAGGTTGTTTCTTGAGGAGAACCTTAGTGACAAAGAAGAGTGATAAAAAATTTGCCACAGTCATTTTTGGTTTTGCTTTTGTTGTTTTTCTGTTCCATTCTATTTTGGTTTTGGTGCTAAACCAAAAAGGATTGGAGTTAGAATTTGAATTCAGTAAGTTATTTAGGTAATCTCTATATAAATTCTAGTGATGACTAATATAGGGAAGTTTTAAAAACAAGGATCTTGGAAAGACATTTGCAATAGTTCTTTACTAACCTAGGTATTTTAATTGCCCAGATTATATTTCACATTTAAGGTATATGGTGGTTTGGTGTTTCATTTTTCAGTATATTAGTGATCTTTGCACTGAAATATTCTGAGGTAGCCAATTATAATTACTTTCATTCAGGCACTGAATATAAGAGGAAATATATAATTTTCTTATTTGTATGTGGTAAGGAGGACTGTATGTGTGTGTGTGTGTGTGTGTGTGTGTGTGTGTGTTTTGTAACACTTAGTGGCAGTGATGGCATTTCGATTTCTTTGAGCTTGTTCACAGAAATATAAAGCTGATTATGGTTAGCCAAGAGAACATATTACAGATAAACATAAGGATTGTATCTTTTCTTTAAAAAAAAATAGGAGCAGATGTCTCAAGTGTTAGATGCCATGTTTGAAAAATTGGTCAAAGAAGGGGAGCATGTAATTGATCAAGGCGATGATGGTGACAACTTCTACGTGATCGATCGGTAAGTCTCGCGTAACTTCACTGATGCAATGTAATGAACCTCTCGTGTAAAATCTCAGCGGTTCTCCTAATGACTGGCAAATTAATATTTGATCGTTGCTGTTACCTCTTTATTCTTAGTACTACATAACAGGCACCAGAAACCTGCTGTGAATGCGTGTGGTGAAATCACCTTAGAGCACGGAAGAAGGCATAGTTTATAGAAGAACTGATGATAATTGGTTTGTGAAATCTATAAATCCCAGTCATTTCCTGCGAGCTACCTCATTTATTAACTTCTGCTGGAGAGGACGCCTGTTATAGTTAGGACGGAAGCAGAGCACGGCCTTGGGGGTGTCGAATCCTATAACTCAACCTCTGTTATGTTTTTTAAAAGGTTCTTTTTTT